CCCGCTCAGCGCGATTCTCTACCTATGTTTTGCGGTTTTGCATTCGACGTTTTCTGGCCCCTCTTGAAAGTTTCCGCTTACTTTTTCTGATGCATACTGCGTACCCTCTCTGTCTTATCTTCCTCTGTGAGAAATAGGGCAGGTAAGTGCCTTCCATTCGAGCTTTTCTGCTCGACATTCTCGGGAAACGAAGGAGGGGAAGTAGGTCGAACTAAGGCCCCTGGTGGAACGGCCCTCGACGCGATTTTGCGAACAATGACAATTGTTCTCCCCCCTCCCAGAGATAATCCGCGAAGGGTCCTCAGTCATTTTCAAAAATAGTTGTCCGGGTTGAGGTGGGAAACGGATCAGTCGCGTGCGGTCCTCTGTCCATCGGTAAACATCCAACAGAGAGTTCTAGCTGTGTGCCATGAACTGTGTAAATAATGTAAATAAAGTTATCTGTAAAGGGAAGTTATCAATAGCTCCTTTATATTTAAAAGTATACAAAAGTAATGCGAAAGTAATGTCATTACTTCTAAAAGTAATTTGTAATGGTAATTAATTACTTTCTGGCTGTGGTAATTTGTAATGTAATTTAATTACATTTCAGGAATTTTCAGCAAAGTAATTAGTAATGTAATTTAATTACAAAATATGAGTAATTTGGCCAGCTCTGGTTTGGGGGGGGGGGGGGGGTATATTTCTCGTGGAAGCGGCACTTATGGGTCGTTTCGTAACTGGGCTAGTCTACTAATGTTGACCGTGACGTCACTCGGCTGGCTGCGCTGCTGTTGGTAGGGCGCATTCGAAGACACTTGACGCGCAGGAACCAAATCGGCGTAAAGTAGGGCACCTCTGCGGTACGCGCCTTGCCAATGGCGCCGCCACCGCAGCACATCAGGGCCGTGTGTTGGTGTATAACGTTCCGCGGTTTGTCGCAATTTCTTCTCTCCTGATTGCGTTCACGCGGCAATCGTAGAAGGGATTCTTCGCACCCGGGTTTAGCTAAATCAACAACTAGAAGAACAAAGAGGGGCCCATGGGAACGAAGAGCGCGTTGAAGAGAACTCGGAGGACGAGGCGTCCAGATTACTTCGGGGGGGGGGGGGGGGGGCTTCCCCTCGACGAGGAACGATGCGTCTTAACTGTTCCACGAAAGTGCTAACGCCGCAACTCTGGAGGACGTCGAGCGAAAAAACGGGAAACGGGTGGCGGGTGCTCATCTATGCCGCAAAAAGGTGGCGACACAATCGCGAAAGATACAGGGACACACAAAAACCGTGGCAAAGCGGAGAGTTACCTATGAACTTGCCGCAACTCTGAAATCCACTTTATCCTCGCTCGCTCGCGTTCTTGTTCTCCCGACGCGGGGGGCTGCGCACTTTTTGCTGTTGCGCGTTCGTCGCAATTTCGTCCCGCAGGTCTGAGGAGATGTTGTTGCGGCGCTGAGGGGATTTGTAAGGCGGCTTATTGCAACTCGAATCATGCGGTGTTCGTTGCGTTACTTGAGAAGAAACGAGGAAAACAAAAACAAAAAAGAAAAAAAAAATGGGGGGGGGGGGGTTGTTTTTGGCGCAGAATAATAAATGCGAAACCTGTGGTTTTTTGTGTTGCGTCAAGGAGTCTTTGGTTTCCTTCGTGTATCGTAGAATAATGCGGTTTAAATTGTCTTTCGATGTTGTTTTGCTTTTATTATGTAAACGTTCGTCTCAGGTCAAAAATAGTTTTATGTAAAAAAACAAAAAAAACAACATCAAAAGCAAGCAAAAACAAACGAACCAAGATTCATACAGAAGCAAAGCGACTGTTAAGGTATTCAAAACAGCGTCCCCAAGCGCTTTGCGCACCCTAAGGATGAGAGTCGTTGCAGCGTTAGGTTTCGGAAATAGACTCGTATACCCAAAGCAAAAACATACAACGTGTTGCATAGTCTCGGTATCGTAATCTGATTTTAACGATATTCATAGTGCTTAACGTTACTGCTTGAGGGCATAGTAAGCCCCTTTCAAAAGGTTAAGAGTTCAGGGGAAGCTCCTTCTATCTCTTTCTCCTTTAGTAGAGCGAACCATGGAGAGGAGGTCGCCTCCTCTCCAGCTCATCTAAAGTTGGTGGAGCTTCGCTCTGAACTTCTAACCTGTCACCCACCATAGCAGCTTCCGCGCCAATTATCCGAGGCAGCCATTTTTTGGACACGAGAGTTGCGTCAACCTTCGGCGTGGACTCGGATCCAATCAAACGCATCGGGCGCATGAAATGGCGGCCGCCAATGTTGCTTGATCGACTTTTGAAAAGAGTCTGTTTTTTTGGTACACTTTCGATCGAGGTGAATGAAGCCCGCACTCTCTCTTTTCTTGGTTCTTTATCTTCTGCTACTCTCTAGCGTTATTTTGCCGTCTGTATCATAAAACTATAGTTAAATCCATATCCTTGCCCGTTTTGATCTTGATGAGCATTATCCAGATCAAAGCAGGCAGGGTTAGCGAAGTACCTTCAAGTAATTTTCACCAAATCATTAAACACTGGTTTAGATCCGACTGACTGGAAAATAGCAAATGTAACTCCAATTTTTAAGTCTGGGTCAATAAATCTAGTTGAAAATCGCCGCCCGGTTTCGCTTACATTCATTGCTTGCAAGATGTTTCAACACATTTTATATTGTTCAATATATAGTTTCCGAAGTTCTCGTCATTTCTTTTCCCCCTCCCAGCACGGCGTTCGTCGAGGTTATTCATGTGTTACGCAGTTTGTAGAATTGCAGAATTTCGAATACCATTGATAAAAGACAGAGCGTTAATTGTGTATTCTTGGACTTCCGCAAAGATTTTGACACCGTGTCACGTCATCTAGTGTTAAACAAACTAGTATCTCTGGGCGTCAACAATAAAATCATCAACCGAATTGCTGACTATTGTTCCGATCGCAAGCAAACTGTGGTACTAAATGGTAAAATATCTTCACCAGTGATTGTTACCTCCGGAGTACTACAGGGAAGTGTGTTAGGGCCCTTGCTATTTATTATATTCATTAACAGTATTTGTGAATACATACAGTTTCATATTAACTTATTCGCGGACGACGGCATAGTATATAGAATTATTGCAATGGCGTGGACGTTAGTGTGCTTCACAATGATTTCAAAGTGTTCGAAGACTGGTGTGACTGTGGGGAAATCAGTTTAAACATCGCCATGTAAGTGGTCGGGAAAGATGTACATCGAAAAAAACACATGTGTCTTGCTCGCTGTACATCTTCCCCGACCGAATAAAAGCTGAAAGATGTAAGTAAGGAAAAATGTAAGAAAGGAAAAATGTATAAAATTATAAGTATCTTGGAGTTCATTTGTCGTCCAGTTTGAAGTGGAATGATCACGTTGATAAATGTGTTGCCAAGGGTAGTAGAATATTGTATTTTATTCGCAGGAATTTTAACAACACATCTCACAGTGTAGAACAAACATTATATTTTTCTTTCATTCCATCAATTTTAGAATATGCTTGTGTCATTTGGGATCCGCCACAAAGTTACCTTGAACAAAGGTTGGAACGGTTGAAATCCAGGCATTACGGTTCGTTACAGGCGACTATACAGCCCTATACAATTTGCACAAAAAAAACAAAAACAGGTTTGGATTTTCTTAAAAAGCAAAGAAGGTGCTTGAGATTGAAATTGTTACATAGCATATATTACGGACGGACTGGTATTGAAAGAAGCCTTTATATTTTTTAACCACACCATGCATCTGCAAGACAAAATCATTAAAAAAAAAGCCAAGGAGATTTGTTACAACACTGTGTTTCATTTTTATTTTTTTGTTAAAACCATTAGAGAGTTGAATACACTCACGGAAGAAATTGTATATATTACTGACAATAATCTTTTATGCTAAACTGCATATTTGTAGTTGCGATTAAAAATGTATGTTTTCTTGGTGCTTCCGTTTATCTATTGTATGAATATGTATTATTATTGCATGATGCTTCCTGTACCCCCTGCATAATGCCTAACAGCGCTGCAGGTATTCATGTAAATAAATAAACACTGGAACGTGTTGTGGCCGGTGTTAATAAAATATTTTATTTTCTTTAGCTGAGAAGGGTATCTTAGCGCCTAAGCAGAAGGGATTTTGGAAGGGAATGTCAACCGCTACGAAACTTGTAACGACAGTTCATGAGTTTTCCGCGATGCTCGATGACTCAGGGCAAGTTGATGTAATTTTCTTAGATTTTTGTAAGGCCCTTGACGAGGTGCAACATGGGAAACTGACTTATGAGCTAGATCGTTTAGCTAAGTTGGCCTATTTATTTCATCGTTTGGACTGCAGCTTATTTCATAAATGAAACTCAATTTGTTGACGTTAACGGTCATGTTTCCGAGGTTTTTGCTGTCACATCTGGTGTACATCAAGGGAGTCTGTTAAGGCCTTTGCTTTTCCTGATATACGTTAATCGTTTCTCTGAAATGGTGCCCTAGCCAGTTTCGATAAGGTTTTTCGCGGACGATTGTATTATATTTAAAGACATTAACTCTGCTCTTGATCATGTTGCACTCCAAGAATCTATACTTTATATTGAGAAATGGTGGAAAAATTGGGACATGAACTTGAATATCAAGAAAACTGTGCTTTTGAGAATCACGAAAAAAAGAAATACTAGCTTGGTTGTGTACTACTTAGGTACATAGCTGTGGTATTTCAAAAGTAACTATCTATAAATATTTAGTCGTCGCAATTACTAATTTCTCAGCATGGTCAACATATCTCGAATATTTGCTCCGCAGCATTCTCAAAACTTTGCTTTCTAAGGCGTAAACTCAAACACGTCCCTAGTAACATTGAGCTTCTTGGATATAGCTCATTCATTAGGTTCAAACCTGAGTATGCATCAGTAATTTGGGAGCCATACATAAAAAGAAGATATTAAACAGACTGAGATTGCTCAGTGCCAATCGGTCAGGGTCATATTTGGTAAATAAAAGAGGCTAGACTCCCCCACACAACTTATAAGAGAAAAAACACATACCAACGCTAGAATCACGTAGGAAATTTATTACTCATATGTTGTTTCTTCACAATATATTAACGCAGGAAGTAAATATAAAAATACCCACTTACCTAACTCCGCTTAGCACAAGAACGACACGACACACCAAAAAATACTTTTTGCTACCCATATTCGCCAAGACGAATGCATTTAAGCACACTTTTTTCCCCTCGCACAGTTTTGGCGTTTAATTCCCTTCCGGAGGCCTTTTTCCAAGCATCGAATTTCATGCGGGCTAAAGGAGATTATTTACTCAATTAAGCTAATTTTCTGTAGCATGTATATATATATATCTTTTTATTATATTTGTTGGGCAATATTGTTCTGTTTTATTGTTTTATATTTTCTGCTATTGTGCATTTGCATGCCTTTTCAGGTGTTTGTATTTTGCTCCTGCTGCTTGGGACAAAGACCTGGCCGGAACTATTGACAAATAAATAAATAAATACCGGCTTGCGGTCATGTATCACCAAAAGACAGTGTAGTGCACTTGCAAGGCTCCAGGCAGGCAGTCGTTTTGCACTGGCTAAGTTAATCATCTTTTACCACAACAACCATCTAAAAGATTCTCTACTATCACCTCCCTACCGTATTTTCCCTCGTTTTGACCACTCATGTAAACTGCGCTCAATTACTTCGTCATCTGTCTCCTATAAAATGTCGACTTTACCATCTGCTATTGACGATTGGAACTCATTACCTGACCTCATTGTAAACATGACTGATACTAACAAGTTTGCTGCAGCCGTTAACCTCTTTCTTTCTGAAATACAAGTGTAGATTACAGCGTGTTTTTTATTAACTATTTTTGTTGATGTTTTTAGTGTGTTCACTCCCTTGTGTAAAGCCCCCTGGGGCCCTCAAGGAAAATAAATGATGATGATGATATTGGGTAACAATTTGTCGCCATTTTCTGGCAGACTAAACTCCCACTGTTTAAACAATTAATTACTTTTTTTTTTTATCGAGCTGAGTAATTGGCAGGAAGGATAAAATCACAACCCTCAGAAAACGTTTTCTTAATTTGATAGCAGATTGGCTGAAAATTACAAAATGATATCCTGAAACGTTTACAGCATTCGTACGCGTGTCGCACTAATATGAAAACAACAACAAAAGTGCAGCCACTCGAAAGGGCATTCGCGAAGGGAAAACCTGCCGCTCTGTTCTTCTGAAACAAAAATTAAATCAAAATATAGAAGAAACGGACTCGATTCACTTTTAAAATGTTCAGCAACAATAAGTCGAAACTAAATTGGTTTCGGATCTCCATCCCGAACAAGAAGTCGATCGTGGATTACACGCGCTCGAGATTGCAAAATGTACAGTTTTTTTCTTTTTTTAACTGGAAGGGAAAGGTATCATGTTAAATAAAACCAAGACCAAAACAATGATATAACCTCCGTCACATATAACAACAGTAATAAAAAAAAAGCCCCGGTTAGGGCAATATCTATCACTGGCGATATTCCTATTATGTGCTCATATTTATAAAACACGATGCCCCCTCTTCTACCCCGCGAAATATGAGAAAAGCCGAAAGTAGAAAATAAAGACACGGAGGTTTCGGGGAATTTCTGCCATTATGTATGTGGTTTCCCCGCACATATTCTCCGCGTCCACCCGTCCGGCCATTCCCGGTGGGCTGGACGGGGAGGAGGAGGCTTCGAATTTCTTTCTCGCTTCAAACGCGACTTATCTAAAATTCGGCGAAGGTTCCCGCGATCGAAGCCTTCCTTCCCTGCGCCAGCCACACTCGCCCGCCATCAGCGCCCCTTCGCAAGTGTTCTCGACGTAACGTATCTCATTTCAAAGAGATTCTAAAGCCGGCTACGCTGCCCACACTTTTCGGCAGAAATTTTCAGAGCGCCCCCGTATATATATATATATATATATACGTGTGCTGCCGGCAACTCAGAGAAGAAACTTGCCGGTTGGCCATGGCGGCGGAAACTTTAGCCCTCTTTCCCTCGGGTCAATTGCGAATTCCGTCGGCGGTTTTCAAATGGACTGCGATTGCTGCTCGGATACTACGAGGGTTGAAACAAGACTACCAAGACGTCGGTTAATGGTGCCGTCACAATTTCGGTTAGTGTAGCATGGTTCAACTTTAATAACGCTGAGGTACGCGTTTCGTTCTCCCAAATTTTTGCTTAACGTAAAAAAAGAAAAAAAGAGAAAGAGCGAAGAGTTACGCCCTGTTTTTGGTGGTGAGCGGTTCAAAAGAAAAGCTAAAGCACAAAATGACTCCCGCGCTAAAAACAGCGTGATCCGAACCAAAAAAAAAAAAAAAAATAGCGAATCAACTCACGTTGCTTAACATAGAACAAATGAAAATATGTTATGTAAAAGTGTGTCAGAGGACAGAAAAAAAAAAAGTAGGGCTTGAGAAGGCAATGGCGCTTTTTGTTACAGTGTAAAGTGCCCGGATCAGGTGTTACCAGAGCGGAAACTCGCAACAGCGGGACCGCCGATATGAAACCGCTGACGCGGGTCCAAAATTGGTATATGAAACACGTCCAGCCACCACTTTCGTTAGGGTTATTTGAGATGTGGAATGGTCGGAAGGTATGCGGCTCCACTATTTGATTTCGTTATTACTCGTATCCTTTAGAATTTGTAAATGTGCGAGTGTCCCCCCTACACGTTCCACAATGTTTAATAAAAAAATGTTATGACATAAAAGAAGTGAACTTACATATATCCGTTCCGATTTAAAGGTAAAAAAATATGGATGGCGGAAAGAAACTTGGAGATAAAAGCCTAGGAATTTTGAGATGTCTCTGCTCAATTCACGCTCAATATTTAAACCTGGTAAAAAAAAAAAAAAGACATTTTATATTATTATTTTATCTGCGTGTTGGCGCGCGTGTTTAAACTATCAGGGCACTTGGCCAAATTGAATTAAACGAGCATAAAATAAACAGTTCGCCAGATGTACAGCTGGTCTAATAAAAAAATGAAAAAAAATGTGCATTTCCATTAGCCTGATGGGTGAAAGGACACTTCTATTAACAAACAAAATCTTCGGCAACTCCAGATCCTTTTTTTTTTGTTCTCTCGTTTGTAACACGAACCCGGTCAAAATGCGACTTCATTTACTGCATTATCAGTCTGTGAATTATGTACGTGTGCAACGTTTCCATTAAAATATTTTTAACTCCTTTCCGACGACGAAAGGAGCTTTTATCTTCGTCATAATTCGTAAAGCCCTCCCCACATTTTGCGAGTGAAGCCATCGCAAGCAATATTTTCAAATATACCTTACTCTTCCCCCCCCCCCCCCCCCGCCCCCACGCCAACTCCATCCTACTTTATTAAAAAAAAAAAAAAAAAACACTCACAAAACAATCTTTTTTGTATTCTGCACATCAACGTCGTCATCGCCGCCAGATTGATGATAGCTGAAAGCCATTTACAAAGCTCCTTGGAAAAGTCGTTGCTTCCTCAAACGCCGCTCTGATTTTGCGGCACAGCAAAAGGTATGGTAATCGTTCCAGAGATTAAAAGGAACATTACACTCAACGCGCGTTAGAGAAATATGCGGTCATTTGTTTTATTTGCTTCTGTTGTCCTTTTTTTTTTAAATACAGTGTTACTTCTGTGCGAAATTCAGTTAATCATAATGCAACGCACGACTCGCCGTCTGCGAGGTTCGTACTACTTTCGAACTGTGCGGGGTTTATTGCGGTCTATTTTCTCGATTGCTGGGGTCAAACCTATAAGGCGTTAAACCGCAGTCACACCATACAGAGTACTGGTACAAAAGGCACAATATTTGCCGTAACCATGATGGGAGAATTATCTGCCGACATGCCTTAATCATACTTTGAAGCACAGTTGCTTCATATTTGCTTATATATACGCTTCGAATACCTCTGTAGGAAGTTTTACAGCGTAGCTGTTTATGGCTAGGGTTCCGTGGATTGTTCGTGTGCGTCAACAAAAACTCAGAGTGGACTCGCACCGCCCTCTCTTTGTCGTCGTTCCAAGCGCTTGTGTCCCTAGTTTCCTTTCCTTCCGCCGGGTGGCGGTCCCGTCGCGCGTGTCGAGTTTCCTCCGGCTACTCGGGGCGGCGATTGTCCTTGACATGTGTGTGCGCACCTTTCGTCACGATAACGACCGATCAAGACAATAAATGTGTTCGTACCTTTGTTGAAAATTCTGTGTCACGTCTGTGTAGTGTGCTAAACAGCTTCGCATGAGCCATTCCACCTTCAGAGAGTGAATGGTTCATGTCTTTTTGTACGACCAATGAGATCAGACCGGCAGACGAGGAAGAAACACGCCTCAGAGAGTGTTTGCAGACTGTCTTTTGTACGATGTATTAACAGTGCGACCGCGACTTAATAAACGCAAGAGGTAGCCGTCCTCGGACAGAGGCTTGGGGCGTGCTCATCACGCGGGCTCGTTGGCGGTCGTCCAGCCTGCCTGCATGTCCGCAACAAACACCGCGTCTTTTGAGTGGTGGATACGAGCAGTGTGACTACGGCCTTAAAGGTCCTCTGCCTTACGGACATCAAAAGTAGCTCCGAAGTTCAACGAATGACGTCACAGAAGCTGGCGTGTCACGCTGTCGGAGGTCCTAGAGGTCCCGGCAAAAAGTACGAGCGAAGGCAAGTGTTGCAGTCGTCGCGGAGTGCCAACTCTTGGCTGTTGTAGCTTCCACGGACAGTTAGACTGGCGAGCAACCTGCGGCAGAATAGGCGTCTGCCACATTCACCGTGCTGCTCGTGACACCGCCAGGATCAGGTCCCGCGAAAACATAACACTTTCGTGACGTCATTAGGAAGAGATCGAAGGACAACGTTTCGGGACGCGGTAAAGACACAGGTCGGAGAAGCGTTCCAGATATCGTACTTTTACTGTCGGTAGTTTTCTTTTTTTTCAATTTATGTTAATTACCTTCTTTTCATTCCCAGCAACAATCACTGAACAGGCAGAAAGAGAAGGGGCAGTAACGCGTTTACGGATTGTGATAAGGGATAATTTGTGTGTGCTCTAGAGCTCACAAATTTCGCTCTCGGAATTCATTACACGTAACGCCGTCTCTTTATTTTCTTTTTGTTGTTTTATTCATCTTTTGTCGGCGTTCAGGCTCATTTTGTGAAAACAAAATGAGCCTGGACG